CCTTCAAGGTGAGATCTAGTTCCTTTGGCCAGAGATTGGTATGGACAGAAAGATATTAAAGGAGAGCCAGGGGGAAGAGAAGGAGGAGGTTATGAAGCAGGCTCTTGACCCAGTCTTCTCCTCTTCTTCCTCCTTCTCTTCCTCTTCCTCTGAGTGATTGGAAGTGTGGAAGCTGGGGGAGCCCCAAAGAAGCCCCAAATCAGACTGAGATGTGAGGGTTGGTCTGCAGGATGGGGGAGGGTATATGATTTAGGCCTTTTGAAGGAGGAGGAGAGGAGGAGGAGACGAGGTTGCTGTTATGAAGCAGGTTCCTAGCCCCACTTTTGGGGCCTGAGCCTCCTTCAGCCACAGCCATGGGGAGGAAGTTGTGCTGGTCACATGTGGGAGTGGCTGTCCTTTATTGAATTATCAGTAAGCCTGGAGACAGAGAGGAAGCTGGGGCTCAGAGATGAAGTGACCTGCTCGAGGTCACAGACTAATGAACAGTTGCGCTAGATTCAAACCCAAATCTGCCTGGTGTAAAGCCCCGTCTCTTAACTGCAGCGACTACACATCTCATTTTGCTTGGGATGAGCAAAATGCCTTTTTATGCCTGTTGCCCCAACACAGGTATTAACAGTGCCTCTTTTCACTCTGAGAAGTGTTTCCAGTTTATACGACTAATTATATGATCACCCTACTCTTATCCATTGTAGCTTGGGACCCTCACATGTTCCGTATCCTCCAGGTGTAAGCTATTGTGTGTATTTTCCCTAGTCCAATAAAACAGACTTCTTAGGTGGAAGGCTCAAGCTGGGTGGATCAGCCCTTGCCCCTGCCCAGGGTGTCCAGTCTTGCCTAGGCGTAGTGGGGAGAATAGATGGGTTTGCACATCCCTTGACTAGGGAAGAAAGAGCTGGAGGAGCAGGGAGCCAGCAGTGTGAGAGAAAGTAGGGGTGCCTCAGAGGCTGCCTATAGGGCGAGGCCTGTTGTGCTACTGGTGGGCTTCCATAGGCTGGGATCATAGGGAGAGGGTAGAGAGGAGCAGGAAGCCCTGGGAGCAAAGGCTGAGAGATGGGGCCACTGAGGACATGCTCAGGGTTGGGGCAGATCTTCTGGTTTGGTGGGTGAAAAGTTGCTAGGGAACATCCCAGCAGGGCCTCAGCTGGACCTCAGGGTTGGAGCTGGACCCCCCCCCCCCTTTTTTTTGTGTTTGGAGACAGAGTCTCAAGCTGTTGTCTTGGGTTGAGTGCTATGGCATCGCAGCTCACAACAACCTCCAACTCTTGGGCTTAAGTTATTCTCTTGCCTCAACCTTCCAAGTAGCTAGGACCACAGGTGCCAGCCACAATGCCCAGCTATTTTTTTGTTGCATTTGTCATTGTTGTTTTTAACTGGCCCAGTCCAGGCTAGACCAGGTTCGAACCTGCCAGCCACAGTGCATGTGGCTAGTGCCCTACCCACCGAGCTGTGGGTGCCGCCTTGGACCACCTCTTAAGGGTGCAGGCACTGAGGAGCTGGGACTCCAGCTGGTGTGGGGCATTCTGTGGGCTCTGTTCCTGGTAGGAGGTCACTGCCACTTCCTTGGGGTTTTCCCACATGCTATGCCTTCCTGGACTCTACTTCTTCTTTCTTGAGCCTGCCCATGACTAAGCAGGTCCCTGATCCCATCCAATAGACAGGCAGGCAAGGGTCAGCCAGGAAGCTTCCTAGAGGACATGGCTATGGTGGGGCCTGAGATTTACAAGAGGGGCATAGTCCCTTCCCTGCCACTGCTCTGCTGGGAGAAGAGCCCTTTGCATCTGTTGCCCTCTCCCTTCTTGCCATGGTGACAACAGCTAACTGCCAACTGTGACTGTGTTCTCTCTCAGATGGACCCTGGATCTGGGTGGCCAGTGTGAGACAGCAGGCCTCAGAGTAGCTCTCAGATCCTGGCGTGGCCTCATTTCTTGGGCTGTGGTGCTAAACTGTATTCAAATCTCACCTTGGGACTAAGGACAAATTACTTAGCGCTCCAATGCCTCAGTTTCCTCCTCTGTAAGCCTTACCTTATGGAGCTCTTATAATGAGTAAATGAATGAGTCTTTACATAGTGCTTAGAAGATGGCTGGGAACATACAGACATAGACGCACACACATGCACAATTAATTAGTAAGAATTAATTAGCCCAGGTGTATATTTGTTTATAAATCCTTGCTGAGTGCTGGGGATACAGTGGTGAGGAAGGTAAGTATAGAGCTTGCTTCAGGGAACATCCCAGCAGGCAGGATGGGCAGACCCCTCAAGAGTGATGGGGATGGGATGGGCTGCCAGAGGTAAGCAGGCTGATGACACTTGATCCTGTTGAGTGGCAGCAGGTGGGCATTTTTGCTCATTACTACCACCTTCCCCTTAGCTCTGCCCTTAGATGCAGGGGGAGCTTTGGGAGATAGAGGGGTAGAGCCTGTCCCTACTTCCCCTAGACTAAAATCAGGCTGGCCCTGGCCCAACAGCTTGGAGTTCTGCCCTTGGCTAATCATATAGGCTGGGCTTCTAATGACCTGTCCCTCTTGGATTCTGGGAGGCAGCAGCCCAATGGATTGATTTGTCTGTCAGGTTACACCTAAGGACAGTGACCATCTAGAGCCAGCACCCCAGGTCATGCTCTTGGGCCTATAAGCATTCCCTCAGTCACTTCATGTCCACTCCAGGTCATGCTGTTGGGCCTGTCTCCCAGAGTCCAAGAGGTAGGGGCCATTAGAAGCCCAGCCTGTGATTAGCTAAAGGCAGCATTCTAAGCTGTTGGGCCAGGGCCAGCCAGATTGCAGTCCAGAGGAGGTAGGGACAGGTTGTATCCCTTAAACTTGCCTCTCTTCCAACCCTAAGGATCAACTACCCATCTACCATCTACCTGCCACCCATCCATTTGTCTACCTACATCCCCACCCAGCCAGCCCACATACTCTTGATGCTGACTAGGTCACAAGCCCATACTGCACTGTGGGAATATCAAGACAGATGCTGCCCCCTGCCCTAAAAAGGCTCAGGGTCACATGAGGGAGGCAGTTTTATGCAGTGCCCACCAGGGTGGCTTCGTAGGTCCAGCTAAACATTCAAACTGTCAAGACTGCCATGGGCCCCACTTGGCATCAGCTTTCCACCAGGCGATGACAGATCTTCATCTGCTGTGGGATCCTTATAGCAATCCCGCCATAGTCCACATAGCTTGTGGAACCACATACCCTCTAGGAGTAAAGGAGTGAGACTCACAGTGGATAAGTGACTCATGAGCCAGCCTGGCTTAGGAATCTCTTGCCACAGGAGCCAGGATATATATAACAACCCCACAGGTGTGGTTTCAGGCCCGTGCATGAGACGTGCCCAGTTTACAAGTCACCATACTGGGGAAACCCAAAGCCCTGGAGTCTCCACCAAGTAGAGAGTTCACTTGCAGTTCCTCTCAGTTCAGATGCAGTTCTTCTCTCAGACCATTGCTGCCAAAGGCAGTGTTGCCTAGTAACACGACTGTCATACCACCTTTACCAGGCTTCTGGGGGAACAGAGCTAGAAAGCTAGCTGAAGGTCAGATTCCCACACAGACGATGGAAGGGTTATGTCACACACAGGGGAGAGATGGTTGCAGTACAGGTTGATGTGGAAGGAGCCATGTGTCCTAAGAAGCAATAGACATTGGAGTCAGGGTTCAGATCCTGGCTTAGGTGTTAGCACATTACTTGGCATGAAGGAGATACTTTGAAAAATATCTTTTGAAATAATTTATATGAAGCTCATAATGTAGGGAAATGTAGATAGGCTGGGAGAGCAAAAAGAGAGTCGGAGAAGATGTTCAGAGGAGGGAGGCTTGGTTTTAGAGTTAAAGAATGAGTGAATGTTTCCTAGTCCGAGAACAGGGAGAAAGGTATTACTGGTGGAGGCAACAGCTTGTGCAAAGGCCTGGTATCATGACAATTCCCCAGGCAGGCCCTGTCCCTCCCTCATGGTTCTTCCTTGCTTTTGTGGTAGTCTCACATGTCAGTCACTGCCAGGAACATTGGGGTAATATAAAGACCAGGCCAGAAACAACTAGTGGGAGAAGTTACCCTTCTGTTCTGATGCCTTTCCTTGGCTCCTACAGGACCCTGGCAGAGATAGCTGGTGGGGCCAGGCCTTCAAGGGCCTCTGGTTCCTGCTGGTGGTCCCTGGGCATCCTGTGTGTTGGCACATGACATGTCTTATCTTGGTTAATCCTCCAGCTGCTCTGCCAGGTCACTAATACAGTCCTTATCTTACAGAAGAGGAAACTGAGGCTCAGAGCAGCTAGGTGCTTGCCCCAGGACACACAGGAACTAAGGCAAGGTTCAAATCCATGTCCTTGATGCCAAAGCCCTTCAGGAGATGCAGGGAGTGTGATCTGTGCCTTGAGAGCCCAGGGGGCCTGAAACTGGCCTTGGAGAGTTGGGGGAAGGTTCCTCGGGGGAGCAATAGCAGGGATGAGAAATTGGTGTTGTGGAAGATGAGTATGATGGGCTGAGGTGAGTTGAGGGATCTGAAGGCACCCAAGAGGTAGTCAACATCCAAGTCTAGGCAAGAAAGAAGATGATCTTGAGCCAGAGGCCCACAATACAAAATCTTAGGAATTTGCTCCTAAGGCTCTGGTCTGTGACTTGGGCCTTGAATCCCATTTCAATCCCATCCCTTTCCTTTATCATCAGATGCCTTCTCAGGTCAAGCATCGCCTCCTCCAGGAAGCCTTCCCAGACTCCCCAGTTTGGTGTTTATCCCTCCTCCAGAGTGGAGACCCAGTGGGTACATGGGGCTAAAAGCTAGAGCACTAGGACAGAGGGTGCCTGTTTCCTTTAGGCTTTGGGGACCTAGGAAGGGTTTTGGCCAGGGAAATGAGATGAGGAGGGCTTTTGGAGGACTGCTCATCTGTGTATGTGAGTTTGTATAATGAATGAGTTTTACTGAAACTCAGGTGAGCTGAGGGCTTGGTGGGTTGGAGTCTATCACTTAGTGATGCCTAACTTTTGTTCTGTTCCAGCTTTCCCTCCAAGGAGAAGTTATTGCCACCACCACTATCATCCCCTCCCCAGCTAGACCCTGAGGAGCCCCTGTCCACTCTCCCCTCAGGGCCTCCCCAGACCCCATCTCCACCTCCCTGCCCACCTGAGATCCCTCCGAAGCCTCAACGCCCATTCCCGGAATTCGGTGAGTGCTGCCACCAGGGGATGGGGCTCTGGGTGGGTTGTCTAGGATGGGCCCCTGGAGAGTATATGAGGATCCCACGCCTCATTCTGTTCTGCCCTCCTACCAGCCCATTGTGTGGCCTTGAAAGGTCACTCAGCCTCCCGGAGCATCATCTTCGAATGGAGACAGCACCTGGCTCTCTGACCCACTGATTGTTACGTGTGGGGACATGGCAGACTTTTTGAGTTCCCCATGATTTAGTCTTGAAGCATTTCCCATGGTAGCGGGTGGTTTGCTTTTCCTGGGCAGTCTACTTTTCTTGATTTTTATTGCTTTTTTATCCTTTTTTGGACAGTTTGGCCCTGACCACCAACTTTGCTGCCTGCTTAGAACTCTCAGAGGTGGCCAGGCCTCTCCTTGGCCACCCCTTTTATACCCATGAGGCCCCAAGGGTATAAAATAGTACTTCCTGTCCCCTGTACCTTTTCTGAAAGCTGAGCTGAGGTGGGGGTGGGGATCTTTCTTGGTCTGGGGTGGTTTTATGAAGCTAAGGTGAGGTGCCCCAGGAGAGGAGGCCTTGCTTCTGAGTCTCCCCTATCACTCTTTCACCAGATGACTCTGACTACTATGATCTCCCAGAGGAGGGGCCAGGGGCCCCCACCAGCGTGATGATCAAGAAGGTGGGGCAGGGCAGTGGTAAGGGTTTGGGCTGTCTGCCTATCAGTGTAGAGGGAAGGCTGGTCTGCTGCCCTTTAGACCGTGGGGACCATCAAATAGAGAGTGGGCAGCCATATCACAAGAGAGCTGTTCTCCCTCACTTCCTCTTCATACCATGCAGGGGTCAGGGGTCAATCATAGCCCCTGAGCCCTGGGCCATGGTTGGAGTTCTGGTCTGTGACTTCTGCTGGGTGGTTTGTGGCCTCTTTCCTCCCTCTGTGTCTGGTGCACATCTGTCGTGCAGTGTCTATCTTTGTTTCCTTTTCTGTGTTCCCATGTCTGGCTGCTTGTCTTATCTCTCTGGCCCCAAATCTTTTTCTCTGTCCCTTTATGTTTCTGTCTTTGTGGCCTGGGTTGGTGCTGGCCACTGGTTCTCCTGTCCTTGTGACCCTGGGGCCCTCTGTGGGCTCCGTTGGTGGGGGAGGAGAATGTGAAGAAACAGAAGTAAAAGTGCTGAGTTGTGTGGGTCAGCCTGCATAGACAGAGGGGGTGTGGCAACCCCTGGGTGGGTGTGATCTGGGCAGAAGGGAAGGATGATGCTGTGGGTTTGGGGGCAGGAGGAGCAACCACTGAGCGTAGTCCCACGAGCCGTGCGTGTTGCCAGTCTGCTGAGCGAGGGGGAGGAGCTGTCTGGGGACGACCGAGAGGATGAGGATGAGGATGAGGACGACCACGCCTATGAGGGTGTCCCCAAGTGAGCATCCACTCCTCTCAGCACTTCCCTTCCCTGAAAGCCAAGCCTCCTACTCCCAGCCCTCCCACCACTCGCCTACTTGGCCAGCCCCCTCAGCTCCTCTCCTCTCTCCCTAGTAGTGGATGGCACACCAGCACCCTGAACTTGCCCTTGCCAAGCCTGATTCCCGAACTCCCACCACACCCCATGGATGGGCTGCCTGGGGGCTCTACCCCCATCACATCTGTCATCAAGGCAGGCTGGCTGGACAAGAACCCACCGCAGGGGTGAGTGAGGCCTCTTGGTGCTCTGCACGGGGCCGGATGGTGCTCTAGGACACTGGTATCGCGGATCAGAAAACTAGAGGGACCCAAGATTTTCTGTAGATCTCCCTCCAGACCTGTTTTATTGTCCTTTAAATTGGGAAGTCGTACTGTGAGTTTGACTCACTCTTGCTAGATAACGTCAATCTTCTTCTCAGTGGCCATTTGGGGTCCTTCGTCCCTTGAACCTGGCTGACCCTAACTCTGTGTGTGACTGCTGGAGGGGCTGGGAGATCCTGAAACCTATCCTCTCGCCCCTAGTCCTTTGCTCTGTTGTTTCTCTCCCTCTCCAGATCGTATATCTATCAGAAACGATGGGTGAGACTAGATGCTGATTACCTGCGCTACTTCGACAGTAACAAGGTGAGGTCTGCATCAGTCCCTGACACAACTCCTGCTCCAGCCTAGGCTGAACCCTGACAACAGACCTAGGTGGATTCCTCCCCAGAGCTCTAGTCTGACTTTTCCAATTGTGTCCTCCTAGCCCACTGGCTGGCTATGGGCCATGATCAGGGTCAGTATCAGGGCTGTCCCTGTCCACCTGCATGAGACAGAACTGCAGCCTTCATTTCAGCAGAGGCTGGGGGCAGTCAGGGAGGTGCTGGGCCCTGAAATAGAAAATACAGATTTTCTCTCTTTCCCAGGATGCCTACTCTAAGCGCTTTATCTCTGTGGCCTGCATCTCCCGTGTGGCTGTCATTGGGGACCAGAAGTTTGAAGTGATTACAAACAACCGGACCTTTGCCTTCCGGGCAGAGAGTGATGGTGGGAAGTTTGGGGGGTTGTGTATGTGTGTTCATGGAGTGGGGAGAACAAGTTTGGCCAGAGAAATGGGGCAGAGAACTAGGGCACATCTGTCCCTCACATCTTATGTGGGGAGGCATCATCCCTTTGTTGAGTAGGGGAAAAAAGAGGGGACTGTGACTCCTCAGAACCACACTTTCCTGTTTATGGGGGAGACAGGCTCAGGTAAGTGAAGCACCTTGCCAGCATCAGTGGCACAGCTGAGATTGCAGCAGGAGCTGGTTTGAGTCAGGGAAGTCAGACAGAGTGATAGGTGGGCCATCTGTGATGGCTTTCGGGCGGGGGTGCTGCTTGAGGAGCCCAGGGCCGGGAGACTCCTGAACGCTCACTCCCTGCCAGGCCCAGCTCAGGCTTCTACCTCACTTCTTCCTCAGCGGAGCGGAATGCATGGGTGCAGGCCCTGCAGCAGGCAGTGGCTGAGCAGCGTACCCGGGCCCGGCTGTCTAGTGCTTACCTGCTGGGAGTGCCAGGTTCAGAGCAGCCTGACCACGCTGGCAGCTTGGAGCTGCGTGGCTTCAAGAATAAGCTGTATGTGGCTGTGGTCGGCGACAAAGTACAACTCTACAAGAATCTGGAGGTGCTAAGGGTTTGGCCAGGTCACTGAACCTCTCTCCCCTGCTCATGTCTATCCCCCTCATCGCTCCTATTGCCCCGGGCCCTCCCCCAATATTTCCCCACTTCAAGGATCCCCCACTTCCTCTGTCCCAGGCCCCCCTGGTTCCTCCCCTTGCACCAGGTCTCCAGGACCTGAGCCCTGCCCTTCCCATTCCCTCCTAGTTGTGAGCCCTTCTGCCTGGTCCCTGAGTACCACTCTCCAGCCTCTACTCTGGCTCCTTCATCTCCTCCTCACTGTTACATAAGCCTAAGCCCTGCCCCAAAGCCCTGCCCTCATCCCATCCCACCTGTCTGCTAGGAGTACCACCTGGGCATTGGCATCACCTTTGTGGACATGAGTGTGGGCAATGTGAAGGAAGTGGATCGTCGAAGCTTTGACCTCACCACACCCTACCGCATCTTCAGGTAGAGCCTCCCTTTCCTTTTCTTCCTCCCCCCCACCTCCCTCCCAGGAGGTCTTTTTGCAGAGTATGAGAAGCGGGAAGCTGCTCCTTCTTCTAAAACGGGTTCCCACCTGTGCCAGAACTGCTTGCTCTGATCCCTCCCTTCTAAGAGGTCTCACTCTTCACAGTGCCCCCTTTGGCCATCACTGTCCTCCCCTGCCCGCCGTGCTGCAACTACTACCTTCTCCCCTGCTGCTCTCACTCCCTCTAGAAAGTATACTTGTCCAACTGAGGTGGCTTCTCTTTGACTCTGGGCCTGTGCTGGGTGCTTCTTCCTGGGCCTCCAAGGCTCTGCCGTCTTGGTTTCCTCTGACCTCAGCTTTTGCCGAGTGTCTGTCTCTGTCTTCTGCCCCTTCCTCACTTATTCCCCGGCCTTTTGCCACCACCTTTCAGGCACTTTGCTGTGCCCAGGTTCAAATCCTGAGTATACTACTGACTAGCTGTGTCACTTGGGAAATCTGTGCCTCACTTTCCTGGGGAACCAAGGAGTCTTTGTAGCAGTGGGTAGTAACTGCCCCGTAAGCACTGGCACTGTCACCAGCACTATCTCTCTGTCCTCAGCCCAGATGTCTGTCTACAGCCAGATCCTCCTCTGAGCTGTAGGCCTGCAATCCCCCAGCTCTGTGGCCATCTCCTCTGTTCACTTTCCCCACTCCTGTTCTGCCCACTCCCTCCAGCCATGGGATCCTTGCCTCTCCTTTCACCCCTGTGCAAACTCATCCCTACCACATTGGCTCCCCCTGCTCTGCCCTCACCACTCTGGCCCCAGGCTCCTGCTGCCTCACCCTTTGGGTACTGGTCTGGGTTTTTTCATTCCATCTACTCTGACTGTCAGAAGGGTTTTTTTTAGAGAGAGAGAGAGGCTAAGCTTTTATTTGTTCATTTCTTACATTTGAAATACTCTTGATTACTTTGAGTTCATACCAAAGCTTAGAAAAATACTCTTTAATGACATTGTTAGCCTGAGAATGTTTGCCATAGTTTTTAACTACTATACAATTGCAACCAATCACTTTATGGGGTTTTCCCTCTTTTTTTGTTCTTTTTAAAATTTTTTTAGAGACAGGGTCTCTCACTGTCCCTTAGGCTGGAGTACATTGGTGTAATCATAGCTCACTATGGCCTTGAACTCCTGGCACAAGCAGTCCTCCCACCTCAGCCTCCCAAGTATCTAGGACTATAGGTGCATATACCATGCCTGGCTAATGTTTAAATTTTTTTTTTTTTTTAAATACAGACAGGGCCTTGCTACATTGCTCAGGCTGGCCCCTAGTAATCCTTCTGCCTCTACCTCCCAAAGTGCTGGGATTACCCACATGTGCCACTATACTTAGCCTCCTCTAGTTTTTCATTGTCATTAACCTTAATTAGGTTGGTTTGGTGTTTAGCACAAAGGGCCTCTTCCAACGTGACACACATGGCTGGTGACAGTGGATGTCAGCGCAGAAAGATGGGCTTGGCTTTTGTCTGAGGCTTTGGTGGCATTGCAAATTCCACATGCCAGCCTGTCATGGATAATGGCAGTGCATAGCACCTCTCATAGAGTGCTGCTCACAGCCTTTACACTTCTGGCAGCCATGCCTTCCTCAGCTATGGCAGTGGGGTATGGGTGGAGTAGACTCTTGAATGCATATATGACTCTGCAGTGGTGGCAGCAGCATTAGCAGGGAAAGAGCCAGAAGGTCTTTCTTCTTTTTTATTTTTTAGGGACAGTTATGCATTTATTGTTTAACCAGGGCTTCCCATCCTGAAGAACAGGAATGGTGTGGCAGGGCCGCAGGTGTCTGTATATGTTGGGCCAATGGCATTGTTTGTGGGGTGGGGCCACAGGGTATATTGCATTTGGGGCTGAGATAGGAAGGAATTTGAGGATGGGATGGCAGAGAGGTCTTTTTAAGACATCTCTGTGCCCTCTCCTCCTTCCCATTTAAACCCTCTGCAGGTTCTCCATTGTCCTCAGGGTACACTTTGACTTCTTCTGCCTGGCTCTGTCTGCTTCCCAGCCTCTTCTCTGCCAGTCTGCCCTCCTGCCCACAGGTCCTGGACTGCCCCTTTGCACATGCTCTTCTCTCTGTCTAGAACGCCCTTCTACCTCTTCACCTGGCTCAGCCCTTCTTATCTGTCGAGTCTTAGCTCAGGTGTCATTTCTTCCCAGCATCCTTCCCCACTCCCCTTGGGCTCCCCCACCCCCTGTATATCACTCAGGTCTTGGTATCCTTGCCATTGTCCACACCTACCTTCCCTACCAGACCCAGGATTCCTTCTCCTTCTGCCCAGGAGCTCCCAACACCTGTGCCCCCACCACTTCATGCTGTGCCCCTTGTGCTGCCCTGAAACTCCTCTGAGCCTTTCCCCAGAAGTCCCCTACTCCTATGTCCTCAGCTTCTCTGCAGACTCGGAGCTAGAGAAGGAGCAGTGGCTAGAGGCCATGCAGGGAGCCATCGCTGAGGCTCTGTCCACCTCAGAAGTGGCCGAGCGCATCTGGGCTGCAGCCCCCAACAGGTCTTGTGCCGACTGTGGGGCTGCCCAGCCTGACTGGGCCTCCATCAACCTCTGCGTCGTCATCTGCAAGCGTTGTGCAGGTATGTGGTGGTGTCAGGCACTGGGTGGAAGCATGGCAGGCTGGCTGGTCAGGGGGCTGGTGGCCTGTCTGGCAGGATGGGCTGAAGTAGAGATAGCAACCAAATCCACTAGTACTGGGACTTCTTTTATGTGCCAAGTTTTTCCCACTCTGATTAATCTGCAGGCCTTACATCTCAAGGCACGGATTCAATAACTCACATCAGGAGGGTGGTACTGAGGCACAGAGATCGGGAAAGTGGCCTAGTCAGGGTCATTTGGCAAGTAGTTGAGCCCGGACTTGAGTGCAGGCCTGTTGTGGTCTCATGTTCTGTCACGTGAGAAGTGTGGGGGAGGCCAGGCAAGAGGGGTTGGCAAGGGTCAGTCCAGGCAGAGCTTTGCATGCAGGGGGAGGAGCTAGTATTTTGTGTGGAGTGGGAGAGAAGGCAGGGACAGGGTCAGAGTTATGGTCAGACTCTGGCTGGCAGGTGGAAGCTAAATTGAGATGGGAATGAGACTGGAGACCAGTGAGGAAGCTGCTCAGATGAGGAAAGGGAGGAGGAGGCCTGGCCTGGGCAAGTGATGAGCATCCAGGGTGGGGAGGTTTAAGATCCAGAGTGTATACCTCTCAATGGCTGATCAGATAACAGGGGTGAGAATGAAGGAGGGCAGAGACCCGAATTCATTCATCTTTTCAGCCAGCATTGAATAAGGGTCTGCTATGTGCCAGACACAGCTAGGCACTGAGGATTCAGCCCTCATGAGAACTGATGGTGCCCAGCTGACAGCTCTGGGTGGGTGGAGGTGGTAGGAACTGAAGGGTAGGAATGAGTCTGGGGAGGTCGCTGAGCTAGATGAAGAGTCCTAAGACCTGTGGAACTTCTAGGGCAAATGTCCAGGGAGCTTGGGCCATGATATCTGGGTGCAGGAAAGTGATGCCCAGCTGGGGACCAGATTAGGAAGGAAGGCATCAGTGCATGGGGCACAGGGCTGGCTAGAGTGGACTGGGTGCTCATAGGAGAGTGTGCAGGGAAGCAAGGCCAGGCCAGAGCCAGGCAGTGCTGGACACTGCTAGTGTCCCCCAGCTCCCCTTCTTGCACTGGGGTCCCTTGTAGCTGGGCAAGGCTCCATTACATCCAGCCCCAACTCCTCCAGGCCTTTCATGCCACAGAGATCTATAAGGTGTGTGCTATGAGCCAGGTTTGCTCTAAGCACTGAGGATAGAGCAGGCAGCCAAAGTTCCTGCTCAAATGCAGCTTCCACTGTAGTCTGAAGAGGCAGGAAACACACACCTGATCCAGTAGAAGTATCGGGAATGCCCATGCTTGCAAGAGCACGTGTCATACATTAGGGAAGCCTTCTCTCAGGAGGCGACATGCCAACTGAGATCCTGAATGACAAAAAGGAGCAGCCATGGGGAGATGGGGGAAGAGAGTCTAGGCAGAAAGATGGTGTATGGGAAGCAGGTAAGGTGCCAGGATCTGCATTTTAAAGAGATCACTCTGGCAAAGCTGCAGGGGGCTACTAGGGAGCCAGGGGCAGGGGGCTGGTACAGGAGGCCAGTGAGGAATACAGGGATCCCTTGGGGGCTGCTCTGGCCTCTTGTGCCTATCTGACCCTGTCCCTATCTGCTCATGGGAAGGGGAGTGCCAGGTGATCCTGAGCTTGGCCTTCTGTCTACAGGAGAGCACCGTGGACTGGGTGCTGGCGTCTCTAAGGTGCGGAGCCTGAAGATGGACAAGAAAGTGTGGACAGAAACACTCATTGAGGTGGTGATGCCCCCATTTGCTACAGATATTTGGGGTTTGCCCCACTAAGCAGCTGCTGGGGTTTTCCAACCCCCCTTTCCCCAAATTGCTGATCCCAGCACCCAGGAGCCAGGAGAGATCTTTGTGATAATCTAGTGGGTGGTGATTTTGGAAAACACAATTTTTGGCAGAGTCAGCAAAATGGCTAGTGAGCTAAGAATATTTATAGTTTTAAAGTATTGTTAAAAAAAGATGATGGAAAGGGTGGCGGGTTCGAACCCGGCTATGGCCAAAACTGCAAAAGAAAAAAAAGATGATGGAACAGAGAGTGTAGGTGTTCTGTAAAGCCTAAAATATTTACTATTTCGTCCTTTAAGGAAAGAATTTGCTGACACAGCATCTAGTTTAGCTCTCATCTCATTAATAGACGTGGAAACTGAGGCCCTGGACGGGGCTGTAATCTGCCTGAGATTATTCAGCAAATGCATATTGACCACCAACTCTTTCTGTTTCCATCACTTACTGGCTGATCTAGGGCCTTCTCTCCTACCTTGCACTCCCCTCAGAGACTTTTACCTTTCATTTCATCTGAACTCACAGGCACCAGTGGGTATGTGTGTGTATGCCTGGGGCACACACTTAAATGTACTTTTATGCTTGAGCACTTGATGTTCCCACATAGCCGTATACGTGGTAGGTACATGGGAGAACAAACAACAGGAGGCCAAACTCAGGCACTTACAATACAGGACGTTTCTGACAGCCCTGGCCAAGCTATTCGGTTGTCACATCAATTTCCCATGTCCCCATAGTGTGTTTATCCCATAGATGCTAAGGACTTTGCATATGTTAATGAACTGACTTTCAAAACAAGCCTACGAATTAAGATTAGAATAACCAGTTTATAGACACTGGGGCCCAGGGAGAGAAAATAACTTGCCCAAAGACACAGAGTGAGTCAGTAGTGGCAGGGATTGTTTCTGCTTTGCTCTCTGCTGGGCCCTAGCACCCCACATAGGACTGGACAAAAAGGCAAGGTGAGGGCCCAGGAGATGGCTGTGGAATGATGAACAGAATCAACCACTGATCTAGTTCCCTGAATGTTGGCCCTTGTGTTCCCCCCAAATCCACCCCTACCCCTCTTGCCCAAAGAGGAATGTTGGGGACAGGAGGTGTTTCCAAAATCCCTGCCTACCCCATTGGCTGACAGGCCAGGCACCACCCGGCTATGATAGCCTCAAGAATGCAAAGTTCCAGATGTGGGACTGGGTGGGGCAAAAGAAAGGCCTCCAGGGACCAGTCACCACGCCTGAGGCATCCACCTGTTAGGTTGTCTGCCTCATGTCCTGTCACTGAGCCAAGGACCTGGGCTCAGCCCAGTGATCGTGGGGGGAACACCCACGGCCACCAGCAGGCCAAGCTGCTCCTTACGTCCAAGGGGCAGATGACCTGGCTCTCCAGCACCTTGCCTGACAACCTCAGAAACCAAGACTCCCGGACACACCCGCTGGCTGTTGGCCTCACCTCTTGCCTGTACCTGCAGCTCTTCTTACAGCTGGGCAATGGTGCTGGGAACCACTTCTGGGCAGCCAACGTGCCCCCCAGCGAGGCCCTGCAGCCCAACAGCAGCCCTGGCACCCGCCGGCACCATCTGGAGGCCAAGTACCAAGAGGGCAAGTACCGTCGCTACCACCCGCTCTTTGGCAACCAGGAGGAGCTGGACAAGGTCAGGGCATGCACCTCTGGGGCCCCTTGAGGCCACCCCCTTTCTTCTTGCTGTCCACCCCTTACTTTTTTTTATCCCATTTGTTCTACCAGCGTGGGGATGAGCTGGTATATGGGGAAACTGAGGCCGAGAGGGTGGGAGGGCCCTGCCTAAGCCACACAAAGTTAGGGCAGTGCTGGGAGGAGCCAGGCCTGACCCTTGGGCCAAGGCCACTTCCCAGCATCTGTCTGCCTTCCTCCTGATTCCTCTGTCTCCCGCACCCTGTCCTGTTCCTTCTGAATCCTGCCAAAAGGAGTGAACTTGATGGGGATGCTATTTCCTGTCAGGCTCATGAAAAACAGCTGGGCTGCTCTGACCCACCCCCATCCTCACCCCACTATGAAGAGGCCCTGTATGGGCCCCAGGCCCTGACAGGCTAAGAGCCAAGCCTTGGGGCCTGATGTGTCTCTGAGCAGGAGGCAGCCAGCTTTGAGGCAAGGGGATGCCATGTGTGACCTCTGGTTGGCCTTCAGCCCCTCCCCCAAGAAACCCCTCCCAGGGCAGGCTCAGTTGAGCTAGAAGGCCAGTAGGAGCCAGCCTTCTACTTCCCAGGGACCCAGGCGTCCTGCCCCAGCCCAGCCCAGTATGGCCTGCAAGCCAGGATGGCGGCAACTCCCATTGGTTGGGAGGGCTGGGCAGGCGGTGAGGAATTCAAATGTGGGAGGAATTAGCTACAAAGCACCCCTCCACCCCTCCACCAGGCAGAGGGAGCTGGAGATCCTCAGGAGGCTCACTGGTGGACTGGGCAGCTGTGTCTGGGCCACCAGCAGGGGTGAGGCCCAGCAGCTGGAAACCCCCAGCCTCTATGAGGCAGCCCACCCTCCCTCCTTTGGCTTCTCTCTTCCTCTTTTCTCTTTCTTCTTCCCCTGCTCTCTCTTTCAATTGGAAGATGAGCCATCCAGACCAGGGGATTCCTTCCTGGTCTATCTTCTCTTGCTCTACACCCCTGACTCTGCTGGCCCCTCACTCTCTGCTTGGGCTGACCTGCCCCTCCCTCTTCGTAGGCCCTGTGTGCTGCAGTCACCACCACAGACCTGGCTGAGACCCAGGCACTCCTGGGCTGTGGGGCTGGGATCAACTGCTTCTCAGGGGACCCTGAGGCCCCCACGCCCCTGGCTCTCGCAGAGCAGGCAGGGCAGACACTGCAGATGGAATTTCTGCGGAACAACCGGACCACAGGTAAGCGTGGCAGAGGATGAGGCAACCCTGCTGCCGTGATTGAAGGAGTTGTGGAGTAGGGGTCCACCAGGGACTGTGTAGGGCCCTGTGAGGTTTGATTTGCATACCACTCTCAAGCTGTGATAGTGACTCCTCGAGGGGCAACAAACAGTGTGTGTGACTTGGGGTGTGTTGGGGTATGTGTGTCAGTGCAGATTTGTGCTTCATATGTGTGTCTCTTCGTGTCTGTGTCTGTGTGACTGTGTAGGTACATGGATGTCCCTTCCTGACTTGCAGTGTGTATCCCACAGTGGGGCACCCATGTACTGGTATTTATGCAGCCCTGAGCTGCTCTGGACCTTTGTTTCCTTGCTCCTAGCACAGCCGGAGAACTCTGGGGTTTGCATGTGTGCAGAGTATATCTGCTGTTGCATGAGAGGTGGTGTGTTGCATTTATCTGTGTGCAGGTCACCTACCATAGCGGCCCTATCCACTGCTTTCTGGGTGGAGCTTAGTCACAGACCTGGTTTGGGTCCCATTTGTCTCCCACTGTCAGAGTGGGTGAGGAGGGGCGGGGTGGGGGCGAGCAGTGTTGGTCGTGGCCCAGGGCTAGCCTCTGCGGCCACTTGCCAGGACTAAGGGTGGAGCTCAGTGGCTGGAGCTCTGGGCGCAGGGCCATGGGTGGGTGGGGTGCACTGGGTTGGAGAAAGCCCAGGTGTTCAGGGAAGCACAGAAGACCACCCAGCTGGTGTGGGCCGGAGGGCAGAACACCCCCCACCCCCTGCCACCCGCCACCCGCCTTCCTTATTGCTGACTGCTGGGAGCAGGGCTGGAGCCAGGCTGCTTCCTTGAGCTTCACACTGTCTGGAACAAACCTCTCTCCTGGGATTGTTATTGAATTTTCCCAATGGCTCCTTCGTGCAAGTGTACCTGGCCCATGCCTCCAACGAGGGATGGGCTGAGAGTCAGGGAGGCTCCCTGGAACTGGGCCTTGGGAATGGAGTAGACTTTCCACAGGTGGGGAGAGGTGGAGAAATAGTTGGGGCAGAACCCTGGAGGTGGCGGTAGAAGTTGGTGGCTGCTGGTCAGGCAGCTGGAGAGCCTGGGTGATGACTTGAAAGTGAACCTAGGTGCCTGGCCTAGTGAGAGTAGGGTGTAGACACCCTTGGATGGTGAGCATGACCAGTTATTCCTCCTCCACAGAAGTACCTCGGGTGGACTCGATGAAGCCCCTGGAAAAGCACTACTCAGTCATCCTGCCAACTGTGAGCCACAGTGGCTTCCTCTACAAGACGGCTTCTGCTGGCAAGCCACTGCATGACCGCCGTGCTCGGGAAGGTGGGTCCTGCGCCAGACACCGTCCTGACCTGTGGCATTTTAGAATGGCTTGCAGGGCTAGGGAAGCCAGGGCTGGCCAGACTGGTACCATGGGGGTGGCCAAGTGGACTCTGGCAGAGTCACCCTGGAGGGCTTCCTGGATACAGTCTCTGGTATATAGCAGTTGCCTAATAAATAGGCTAATTGAGAGTAGGGTGGGGCACAGCACTCCAGAATAGGTCCCTCATTGGCAGAGCTTCCTTTGGACTAAAGAAGCCTTTATTGACCTCTTAGGGCATCTGCTATCCAGAGCCTGTGAATGGAAGGAGGTTTGAGGACTAAATTTTAAGCCATACCCCTCTCTTATCTCGGCTTTCTGTTTACTCCTCAACTTTAAATAAAATCCGTAATCCTTTCCATATCCCACAAGGGCCTACACAGCTGGTGGTCCCACCTTTTATCTCTATGCCCTCTCCTCTTTGCTTACTCAGCTCTGCCAGCCTCCTTGCTCCCACCACTTTTGCACTTGCTGTTCTCTCTGCCCTAAATGCTTTTCCCCAAGTATCTGCATGATCTGTCCCTCACCTTTTTATTTCTTTGAGTTGGGGGTGTCGCTATGTTATCCAAGCTGCTTTTGAACTCCTGGCCTCAAGTGATCCTTCTGCCTCAGCCTCCCAAGTCGCTGGGAGTTAAGGTGTGCACTACTACTCCTGGCTAGTCCTTCACTTTAATCAGGTCTGTCACTTCTGCAGAGACATCCTTGACCATCTCATCCATAGCGTGCCCAATTTCTCCCTTTACCCTAATTTTTTTTCAAATGACTTATCTTGTATTAGTCTTCTAAAGTGTATATCTGTCTACACTAAGTACACTGCACTTATCTTGTATTAATTTGTCTTCTGAAGTATGTATCTATCTATATCTAAAGTGTATATCACAGTTTTCTGAACCCCACTGGAACATAAGCTCCTTTTGGGCACCACTATAGCCCCCAGTACCTAGGACAGTGCTGGGCACACACTGGGTACAGGCATGTCTGCAGAATAAAGGGAGACTGAGGCAGGACTGGTGCTTCTAGAGGGAGCCCATCCTTGGCACATGTCAGGCCCTCCTGGACAGGATGAGGGACAATCTCTGCTGTGGGAATATTGTTGAGCCATTGCTCACCACATCCCTCAGCACCCTCCTGCATAAGCCACCCTGGGGATGGAGCTCTCCAACTCCCCAAGAGATTTCTGTGGAACCTATGCTGTTCACAATCTCGCTGCCTTGGGTCTAACTCCCTTTGCCTGATAATGTCATTTATGTAACTATCTGAGTCATCTTTTTTGCCTTGGGTGCCAGGAAGCTCTGAGCTGCTATGAAGCTTAGTGCTATGAACTGTACAAGCCTGCATGGCCTTGACATTCTATTCTTTCCACTACCCTTCTTGGTCCAGATTCCCTTTCCTTTATGGGATCTTGTCAGTCTCCTCAGAGCCATGGTAGGATGAGGCTGAGTACAAAGTGATGGGTGCTCTGGCAAAGGAGGGTAGAGCACCTGGGTGGGTATAGAAGGCTGTTTGTGAACTCAGGTGGTAGGGGGAGGGAACAGGTGTGCAAAAACAGGGTGTGTATAGGAGTGACAGAGAGGCAGCTGGAGAGGTAGGCAGAGCCAGACCCAGCAGAGACTTTGTCCTAAGGGCAAGGGGGGCCATGGAATCCTTTGATCAGAGGAAGGGTGTAGTCTGATTTTAGCCAGGTCACTCTTGGCTCTTGGAAGAGGCCAGGCTGGAGGCCAAAAAACCAATGAAGAGTTCTGGGGCAGAAGATGAGGTGTGGACTGGCCCAGCGGTGGAGCTACAGAGGGGAAGATGATTTCGGGGAAACTTTTGAGTTAGAATGAAGATCATGTGGGTCAGGTGGGAGTAGGGGCAGGAAGGATGGAGAGGTGGCTTATAAGTCATAGTGGGGGTCTCCCTCATGGCTCCCCTGACTAACTTCTCCCTAGAATTCAGCCGACGATGGTGTGTCCTTAGTGACGGGGTCCTGAGCTACTATGAGAATGAGCGGGCAGTGACCCCCAACGGGGAGATTCGGGCCAGCGAGATTGTGTGCCTGGCAGTGCCCCCTCCTGACACCCATGGGTGAGCACCCCTGGGCACATCACTGACTAGAGTTGCTGTAAGGTCCGAGCCTCCACTGGGGAGACAGTGAAATAGGCCCAGAGAAGGGCAGGATCTCCCCAGCGTCACACAATAAACCGGGGTTGTATAGAGACTGACCTAGGTCTCCAAAGGACACAGCCTAAGGCTTTTCCACCACCCCTAGGGGCCAGGGAAGTGTAATCACAAGGGCAATGTTGATGGGGCAGGGAAAGTCAGTTGGTGGGGATAGGGGCTGGGCAGGGCAAAATGGGCCTGAATCCTGGCCTGTGTACTTACAGCTTTGAGCACACCTTTGAGGTATACACAGAAGGAGAACGGCTGTACCTGTTTGGGCTGGAGAGTGCGGAGCTGGCTCACGAGTGGGTCAAGTGCATTGCTAAGGTAGGCCTGGGTTAGTGGGGTAGGTGTAGGGGTGACTGACAGGGGCAAGATGGGGCTGATCCATGTATCCCAGCTTCCCTGTCTCTGATGTTGGAAGCAGAGGCTGGATTGAGGGTAGCAGATATCAGGCAGGTTTCTCAGGCCAAAGCCCAGATGTAGTCTACAGTCCTCTGGGGGAAGGTTGGGAGACCTACCTCAGCTATGCAGGAGAAGGGCTTTGGGCCTTGTATTCTGTAGGTGCTCTATAAATGCTTAGTAATGAGTAATAGTCAGAGTCATCTTAGATGGACAATGCTGCCTCCAGGGGCAGTGTGCTTCTTGTCCCTAGAGGTGTGCAAGCAGAGGCTGGAGGGATAAGGCAGGGACATTATGGTGAGAGCTCTACCCTCAGGTCCCTGTGCTATGAGAGCCTCCCTCAGTTGTCTGTGAGCCTCCTGAGGATCAATCCTCAAGAGTCCTGGACACCCAGAATAACCAGTCTTGGTCCTGGCTCTTCATAGCTCCTACGCAGGGAGGGAGACAGATGGGGTACAGACAGCAGCAGCAGCAGCAGTGCAATCAGTGCAATCAGTGCTACAACAGAGGACAAGAATGCTTTGGTGTTGTGAGGGTCCAGAGAAGGGCCATCCCTGATGGTATCTGGGGAGGCTGGGGTGTCTTGGGCAGGCAGTGCTGCTGGCTGATGCAGCCTCCCCTGGCTGCCTCCCCTACCAGGCATTTGTCTCTCCCCTGGCCGAGGATCTGCTGGCCCGGGATTTTGAGCGGCTTGGGCGCCTACCCTACAAAGCTGGCCTGAGCCTACAGCGGGCCCAGGAGGGCTGGTTTGCCCTTACTGGCTCTGAGCTCCGTGCCGTCTTCCCAGAGGGGCCCTGTGAAGAGCCACTGCAACTACGGAAACTACAGGAGCTTTGTGCGTGGACCCAGACCTGAGCCCCCAACCTCCAGGGCACCCTCTCCTGGGCTCCCAGGCCCTCAGCCCCTGCCTAGAAGTCTGAACTCTATCCTGGCCTGGCCAGAAGGAGCCAGCCTGCCTTCTCATGTCCTCTCCTGCCCTTGGGGTGCATTTTGATGACCACATATGTTGGCGGGTGGGTCCCAGGGTTTTGTGTGCCCAGACAGCCTCAGGAGGGAGCAGATTGGGGATCATGAGCAAAGCCTTACCTTGACTGGCCCTTCCACAGCCGTCCAAGGGGACAGTGAGAACCAGGTGCTGGTGCTGGTGGAACGAAGGAGGTAAGCTGTAGCCTCCCTGAGGGGTTCCGAGAAGTTTGGAGTAGTCTGGCAGGCCTGAGGAAGTGGGGGGCTGGTGTAGGCCCCTCAGTGATTGGCTGTCCTGGGCCCAGGACACTGTACATCCAGGGGGAACGGAAGCTGGACTTCATGGGTTGGCTAGGGGCCATCCAGAAAGCAGCAGCCAGCTTGGGGGACACGCTATCGGAGCAGCAGCTTGGGGACTCGGACATCCCAGTGATTGTGTTCCGCTGTGTGGACTACATCACGCAGTGCGGTGAGCCCCGCTCTCCCAGAGAGATGCCTGGGGGCCCCTGGCACCCTGATCCCAGGAGCCTGGAAAGTAGCCTGTCCTGGAGCAAAGCCTAAGGCCCAGGCTTAAGGCCCTGAACACTTGGCCCTGCTCCTCCCCAGGCCTGACCTCGGAGGGTATCTACCGCAAGTGTGGGCAGACCTCAAAGACACAGCGGCTGCTGGAGAGCCTGCGGCAGGACGCACGCTCCGTGCGCCTCAAGGAGGGCGAACAGCATGTGGATGATGTCTCCTCAGCACTCAAGCGCTTCCTGCGCGACCTGCCCGATGGGCTCTTCACTCGTGCCCAGCGCCTAGCCTGGCTGGAGGCCTCAGGTGGGCCCTGCAGCCCCTGTCTACTGTATCTCAGGATTCCTGCCCCCTGGGGCAGTAGTGCTAGGCATGCCCCAGTTCCTGCCCTCCTCTGCTATTTATTCCCATAGACACTGTGTAAGAAGCTGGGGACTCTTGACAATTCCTCATCCTTCCAGAGTACCTCACCTGCTTCGACTTGGAGGGTGCAGGGACTGCTTTCACCCAGCAGGAGGGGCAGAGCAGCCAGAGTGTGGGACAGGGAAGGTGGTTATGGGCATTTCTGACCTGGTCTATCTCCCTACTCCCAGAGATTGAGGAGGAGGAGGAGAAGGTCTCCAGGTACCGAGAGCTCCTTATGCATCTGCCCCGTGTCAACCGGGCCACAGTGAAGGCCCTTATCGGCCACCTATACTGGTAAGGGGCAATACCATTGTGAAACTTTGGGGGGAACAGGGTAGAGAAGATTCTTCTATCCCCAACCTGGCTGACTGCCCTACCCTGAGAACGAGGTACTCCTGGGAACTGAGTATTGACTAATCTTGGATATTCTGTCTTCAGCTTAATGCCTCGGGGGGAAAATACATTTTTCAGCTTGGGGCTGGAATAATTTGACTAGATCTTCCAATGTCTCAGCCCTCCTCCTTGCCAGACCCCAAGATGTGGCCAGAAAGACTGTGCCTCCCCTTTTTAGCTTGTGACCCACCGTGACTAGGCCAGTCTGTCAGAAATTGGCAAGATGAGATGGAAAAGTTCCAGGCCAGATCCCTCACTCAAAGTCTCCCTGCTCCCTTCTCTAGTGTCCAGTGCTTCTCAGACACGAACCAGATGAACACGCACAACCTGGCAATTGTATTTGGGCCCACGCTCTTCCAGACAGATGGACAGGACTACAAGGCTGGCCGTGTGGTAGAAGACCTCATTAGCCACTATGTGGTGGTGTTTAGTGTGCGTCCCTGGCCAATGGGCAGTGGAAGGCAGGGCTCAGCCTCCCACATGGCAGTGACCACCTGCACCTGTCCCTCTCCCCTTCCCAGGTAGATGAGGAGGAGCTGAGGAAGCAGCGGGAGGAGATCACTGCCATTGTGAAGATGCGAGTAGCTGGCACTGCCAGTGGGACTCAGGTGAAGGCTGAGGCCTGGGTGGGGCTCAGACCAGCCACCGGTACCGAGACCTCCAACTGAACCTTATCTTCTTGCAGCATGCCGGTGACTTCATCTGCACGGTGTACCTGGAAGAGAAGAAAGCAGAAACTGAGCAGCATATCAAGGTAGGGCTTGGGGACCTAGAAGCCAATGGCCAGAGGAGTCAGGCCGGGCTGGGCACAGCTCAGATGGCTATAGGAGTGGTCCTTCCATTCCAAAGAGAGCCCTGGTTTGGGACCTTATGTGGCTGGTGCTGGGGCCTCTTTATAAGGACTATTCAGAGATGGCCCTCTGCATTCCAGAACTTGTGAGGAACTAAGAAGGGTGGGCTTAGGCCCTGAATCACATGGCAAGTTGTAGTGGAGCAGAGGCTGGGGATGGGGTAGGTTGACCTCCTCCTTGGTCCCTCCAGATCCCAGCATCCATGACAGCTGAGGAGCTCACCCTGGAGATCCTGGATCGCCGGAATGTGGGCATCAGGGAGAAGGACTATTGGACCTGCTTTGAGGTCAATGAGAGAGAAGAGGCAGGTGAGTGCCTACTGGGATCGGTGCAGGGCATGGTGTCTCATCTGGGCTATAGTTCCCATCTCTCTTCCCTTACCCTTTAGTGTAGGAGCAGGGGTAGTGAAACAAGTTTAGGATGGCAGATGTTGTTGTCACACTGATGAAACCTGTGATCTTGATGGTGGTGACAGATGCTGGCAAGGGTTGAGGTGATGCCTATAATGTGGCTGATGGGGACAGTGAAGGGGGTAGGTGATGTCAGCTGTGATGGTGCTTTTCAGGTGTCAGTGAGGGTGGTGTTAGTGATAATACTGAACTTGATCATGGGATTATGGGGTAACACCATTCTTGGTGGTTGTGACCATGCAGGAGAGGTGGTAGTGGGAGGGGGTATGGGTGAGGGTACTTGTGATACTACAGCAAGCCCATGGTGGTGAGGGGTGATAAAGGCATCTCTTATGGTGAAAGGGATCTTGGTGGCAGGGGGTCGGGGTGAGGGTATAATCTATCTATTTGTTTTATTTGTTGAGTGCCAGACCCATAGTCCTCATGAGGTTAGTCTGGTGTGGGAGGCCAGACAACTATAGCTACATTAACTGCTGTGAAGGAAAGACCCATGGCATGACCAAAGCTTCCCTGAGCTAGGAGGTGGAGGAACAGGAAGAGGGGTTACTTAGTGAAGCGGGGGACGGGGGGGAGAGTACTTCCAGGAATGAGAATGGCATGGGCAAAACCTGCATGGGCAGAGGTACAGCCCCTCACAGACAGTGAGGGGCTTGTGCTGTGGATGGGGCTGGACATCTAGGCAGAGGCAGAGATGGCCACACAGGGCCCAGCAGCAATGCAAGGCCTTAGGAGGGTTAGTGATTGGGATTTAGAAGATTGCTACTTGCTGTTGAGTGGAGAGAGGAGGCAAGGGAAGTGAGGGTGCATCATGGTTCAGTCCAAGGAGAAGACAGTAATGTGGGCCAGGGTATTGGCAGTGGGCATGGACAGCAGAGAAATATCTAACACATGGAAGGTGCGAGGGAGGAGGGTTTGTTTCTGGCTTAAGCAGCCTGGTGGGTGGTGGTGCTGTCATTTCCCTGATGAGACACAGAAGATCAGGGGCTTGGTTTGGGACATGTTGAGTTTAAGCCGCTTTGGTCACAGCCAGATGTGTCAAATGTGAAGCTTGGTTATGATGGTAACATGGCATGGTGCTAGCAGATGGTGGGAGTAGACAGTGGACATGTAGGTGACATGTGCCACGTGCCAGTTCTTGGTAGTATCAGACTGTGTGACAGTGACAGTGGGTGTGACCTCTCCTCAGAGCGCCCCCTGCACTTTGCTGAGAAGGTGTTGCCCATCCTGCATGGGCTGGGCACAGACAGCCACCTAGTGGTGAAGAAGCACCAGTCCATGGAGGCCATGCTGCTGTACCTGGGTATGTGGTGCCTACAGGTGGAGCAGGTGGGGTGGGACCCTCCATCCACAGCCAGGCCAGGACCTGGTGGCACAAGGCAAGAGTGGCTCAGGCAGAGGGTGCCCACCTGGCAAGCCTCTATAGTTGGGGGCAGAACAGGACAATTTCCTTCATCCTGGAACCTGGCCCTGGGACACCTGGGGGTATGAGTAGGGGCCGGGTGCAGCCTATGCCCACTCCAGTCCCCCCCCAGCCAGCCGTGTGGGCGACACCAAGCATGGCATGATGAAGTTCCGTGAGGACCGCAGCCTCCTGGGCCTGGGCCTGCCCTCAGGTGGCTTCCACGATCGCTACTTCATCCTCAACAGTAGCTGCCTGCGGCTATACAAGGAGGTCCGGGTAAGTGGCCTCACTGGGGTCTGCCCTGCCATGGGTACCTGCACCCACCAGTGTGTTCAGATATTGCTACAAGTGGTAACATCTCTATCAGAGCTTCTTGGGATGGCACAGCCATGGTGAAGAGCTGTAGACTCTTTGGGGCCTTCCTACTGTGCCCTTGGGTGGCCATTCCCCTAGGCCCTGGTGCCTGAATTCCATCACATCACACCAGTACTCTATCATCTGTGCCTGTGCTTTGTCATAGCAGCCACAGGAGCATGCTTTATGGTGACAGCCCCGAGTTGTGGCCCATGCATACCTTGTCATGTCACAGGTCATACTATTTCCAGCCCACTCTCTACACACTGTCCACATGCTGGGTGTTCTCCCAGACCAGGCTGCATCCTGCCATCTCCCACCTTCTACACATACGTGCCACATCCCCCATGTACCATTGCACATGCTGTCCTGGTTCTAGACCTGGGATTTCTTTGTCCATAATCCTGATCCTCTATCAAACAGAGCCAGAGGCCGTGGAGCGGGGCCCCTGAGACCGTGAGTAGCTGTGAGCTTACTGCCAGCTGCCTTACACCGCCTGGGGGGCAAAGCGAGCTAGGTGGAGCGTGGGGACATAGCCAAGGCCCTGGTCATCTCCAGGCATGATTCTCTGCCCCTTACCCGTCGGCACTGGCTCTCACACTGGGGCCCATGGCCTTCATCGCTAACCCCATCCCAGGGTCCTTTCCTCAAGATAGGGTCCCTTATGATGTAGAATTTTCAGAGGACTCAATGTGGAAGTTAAGGAGACCCTTAGGCTTGAATTTGAGCTCTGATCCTCTTCTCCTGCCATCCCTGGAGCCCAGCTATTTCCAACCCTGGAGAGAGTTCCAGAGCTATAAGAATGACCTTACTGCTGCTACTCTGATCCTAAAATGCCCCACCTGTGGTAGGAGCCTCCTCTGTAGCTCTGGCTGGTTGCTCAGCCTTTGCACAGCCACTCCTCCCTTGGGGCTGCCCTATTCCTAGGGGGATGGATACTTCTGCCTGAGGGAAGGCCTTTGCTCAGGTTCAACTGAGAATCTGCCTCCAGTGATACCCTGTAGGTCCCACCTCTGCCTTGGGGGCCACAAAGCATAGGTGCTCTGCAGAGGTGAGCAGCAGAGGTTCCCAGACCAGCGGTCTAGGCTGACAGACAGCTGTTCCACCAGTGTCTTCAACCTCTTCTTGCCCCTTGCATCTCCTGAGAACATGTGGATGGGTCTTGACTGCCGTGGAAGGAGCAAAGCAGATAGAGCAGAACCTTCACCTCCTTCTTTTTGAACTTTCTACCTCTATTAATGCAGCCTAGGCTGCTGCTTACCCTTGTGCAAAACGCTTCCTCTTCTCTTCTTTGCAGTCTGCAAAGTTGCAAAACACTTCCTCTTTAATTTTTGCAATCCTACTTCTGAGCCTGTCTGCCCCTCGAGTCAGTCCTCTGGGTTCTGGATGTTACCTCCCTAGTCCGCTGTCTCTAGGGGTGCTTAGCCCCATGGAGCAGACCATTGGTGTGGGCAGAAGGGAGGAAGGATGGCTGAGCCACCTGGAGGAGCAGCTACTGATCCTTTGGCATGGAGGAGAGAAGGCAGGAGAGCTAGAAAAGGGGAGAGACCTAATGTTCCCCAAGGAACCAGGCTTAGTGCCTGGCCCCTCACACACTGATACATGTAATCCTTACTCCTGTCTTGTGAGGAAGTGTGTTTTCCTCATTTCACAGGTGAGAAAACAGGCTTTGAGTGACTGTTTCTACCACATTCCATCTGGGATTTGAAGCCAGATTTGTTAGTGTCAAAACTCTCACGTTTTATATTCCTGCAAGTACAGGGGCTCAAAGACTCAGCAGAGAGGGGCTGTTCAGCACAGGGGCAGGGTAGGTGCTGCTCTATGACAGCCAGCCAGCACTTGTGGCCTGACAGAAGCCCTAGGCAGGTGTGGTTTGGTTACCAAGGTGTTGGTTCACAGGGTAACAAGAAACTGGGACAGTCCCAAGCAATTCAGGATATGAGGCCACTCAAGCCTTATCCTGGGGGTAGGGAGGGAGGGTCTCCTGGGAAAGGCACATTCTAGAAAGATCTTAGTTCCAGCAGAAGTCCTTGAGCAGCAAGAATGCATTTCTTTCTTCACCAGTGACCTTGTACCTTGGAGATGCTGGAAACATGAGCTCTTTGACTAGAAATGAAGTACTTAGGGGATTCATTCCCAAAAAGAAATTGCATTGACTGATACCCCCTTAGCTTCCTATTTCAGTCATCCTTATGTCACACACCTGCCATGCGTGCACCAGGCACACCAGAACCTGACAAAGCAGAGGGTTGTGTTTTCAGAGTCTCAGGGAGCCACAGTCTGGCTTGATGCCTCAATTCCTGCAATTCTTTCTGGGGCTGACTGGGACCATCATTACTGTCACATCCATGGGCCTGTCCCTTCTACCCTTGACTCACTTGACACCTAGCTTCAGTTCTCTTCTTCCACTCACAGCGTGGCTTCTTCCAGGCCTGAAGCCTGTTTTCCACCCATAAAGCATGCCTGTGGTCTAACCTTGCAGCTTCTGTTGCAGTCTTTCCATCCCCTCTACCAGGTGTCTTCAGATTCGCAGGCAGCATCTTCCCTGCTTGAGTGCAGGTGTCTTCCTGCTATATTCTCCCCACATCTGCCTCTTCCGAATCCATAGCCCAATCTCCCTTCCCACTACTCAGTTTCCTCCCTGTCTACAGCCCTGATCGTCCCTTGTCCGCAGCCCAGTTTGTTCCAGGCTCTGTTAGATACCTATCAGGGCAGGTGCTATCTGTAGAGAACATGGGACTCTGCTATCAGTCCCTTGTCATTACAGGGTATCAGGGTAAAAGCAGGGTGAAAGTCCTTCCTAAGACCCTCCTAAGCTACACTTCTTTTGGCAGCACAGATGTCTCCACCAATCCCTATCCTTTTGTGATAACATAGGAAAGTCCACCAATTCCCAAAACTTTTCACCTCTCTGGCTCCCTCAGTACCCTCTGGTTTATGCTAAAGAGCCATGCCTGGGGGTGACTGGGAGCTGCAGTGGGGAACTGGATAGAGACAGCTCAGTCTTTGACCCCCAGATACGGTTGTAAGTGAATTTTCCTCCCCTGCCATTCTCCTTGTGACCCACCTGTGGGCTCCAGGGGTGCCTGGTAAGGGGAGGACTTCAAGCAAGTGGCTCCCAGAACAGGAGGAAGGGTCATTAGCTTGACCCAAATAGCCTTTTCCTTGGGGGTTATTGCTCCTATCCCTTTGCCTCCAAGCCAGCCTGCTCCTTCTAAGCCCAGACCCATATGCAGAGGTGGGGCCCAGAGGGGAGCATATTGGTGACCTGGTACCCCTCCTCAGTATATCAGTCTTATGCTTCCTGGCCTAGGCTATTGGAAAGTTCTTCCTTTGGTCTATTGAACAGCTGTTTGCTTCAGCTTGAGTCCTTAGCAGACTAGTTACTAGTCAGAGCTAGTAACTGCTGATCTCCTTCTTTTCACACGGTCAACCCTGGAGCCTCTATGGGGTGGGGAAGGGTGAGGAATAAATAACCTGGGATGGACAGATGTAAGCAGCCAAGCAGGGCTCTCAGACGGCATCTGTTCCTCCCAGCTCAGTGCTGGAGGATGATGTGGGCAGGTCTCCCTCTGTGTGTAGTCTCATTCAGGCTGGTGCTACAAATTGAGTCTTCAATTTGCAGAGCCTCAGGGTGGGACTGTGATTTGCTTCTTTGGATATCCCAGTTGGGACAGCTTCCTTGGGGACTGAGGGTTGACTGTCTGATGCTGCTGCAGGGAGAGAGGCCTGGGGGGCTGGTTGGGCTGGACTGGAAACAGGGAGGATTTCATCAGGAAGGCTTCCTGGAGGAGGTGCCCTGTGCTGGGAGGCAGAGGTGGGTGGGGAGTGGTAGGAGGAAGGTTCCAGGCAGGAGAATGTACCAGTGTCCACTCTAACAGACTGAAGTGCCTTCTTCTCCCACCCTCATCCCAGAGTCACCGGCCTGAGAAGGAGTGGCCTGTCAAGAGTCTTAAAGTCTACCTGGGAGTGAAAAAGAAACTCCGGCCACCTACCTGGTGAGTTGGGACTAAGGAGATAGGCTTGCAGCTGGAGTCTGTGGGGGCTCAGAAATGATGGGAGAGGCATACCTGGGAGCTTTGAACTTGACAGAAGTCAGTACAGTGGTTCTGAAGGTGTCGTCTCCCAGACCAGCAGCATCACCTGGACATACCTTAGAAACAAATTTCTAAGACCCACCCCATTTCTGCTGAATCATGGGTTCTGGGGGCCCGGTACTCTGTGTTTTAATAAGCTGTTCGGGGAACTCTGATGCCTGCTTATGTGTGAGAACCACTGGCCTGTATTAAAATCCTGTCACTGACTATCTCTGGGGCCTATCTGTACCTCAGTTTCATATCTGTAGGACAAGGAAAATAATGGCACATATATTTCCAGGGGAAGTTGAAAAGTGCTACTATTGCCATTATGTATTGCAGTCACCAAAGTTAGTTTTCTCACTTTCTCCTCATCTGCTCGCTGTGCCTATCTGTCTCTCTGGGACTAGGGCAGGCCAGGGCTGCGGGTGGGGATGGAGCCAAGGGCTTGGGAGGCCAGTGGGGACTGAGAGATGAAAAAGGCCAGGATGTGCTATGCTTGCTAGCAGGCCTTGAACCCTGCCCCTGGCTCTTGGGCTCTGTCCTGGGGACCTGGGCATTGAGGCCTCTGCAGGCTGTCAAGCAGCCCCACTCCCTCCTCTCCTCTGCAGCTGGGGCTTCACGGTGGTGCATGAGACAGAGAAACATGAGAAGCAGCAGTGGTGAGTGAGGGCCTCAACCTGAGACTCCAGGCTGAGGAGAGATGGTAACACGTCCCCCTTAATTGGGTTCTTAGTCACAGCCCAGTTCTGTGCCTTGCTGGCAGACCCTGGGTTGGGGAGACAGGCAGGGTATCCCCTACTGAGCCAGCCTTTGGCAGCATCCAGACCTATTGCCCCTCCATCTCCTGTCCCCCGCAGGTACCTTTGCTGTGACACACAGATGGAGCTCCGGGAGTGGTTTGCCACCTTCCTCTTTGTGCAGGTATCAGGTGCAGGGAGTAGTTTATGGGGTGGGGTCCCTAGAGGCTTCTGTTATGGAGAATGGGTACATTTGTGTCTTCACTGTTGAAGTCACCCATTGCTTGAAGGAGACTTTAAGTTGCTTTTAATGCATTGGTTTGTTTAGCTAATAAATTCTTCCTAATGGCTGTTGTAGTCCAGCCCTGAGCTAGGCCTACTAGGCACAGAGAGCACACTGCCCCCATGTGAAGAGAAAACAGACCCAGAATTGGCTGGTTATAGCTCAGCATGATCAGTGTGGTGGTGACAAATGAAAGCCTAGAGACCCTAACCTGATGTGTGGGAAGGAGATGTCGAGCGGGAAGAGGATGTCACAGAAGCCGGGTCTTAGGGGATGAGGAGAGTGCACAAAGCAAAGAGGAGGGGACGATTTCTAGTTGGAAGAGAGTTTATGCAAAGGCGTGGTGATGTGAATTAGAAGTTCAGATTGTCCAGTGAAGTGGAAAGGAAGAAGCTAGGAGTGCCAGAAGTTGGCACTGGAAAGAATCTCAAAGAGCCTCAAAGACCATGGCAAGGAAGCTGAACTTGACCTGGGGGGCAGCAGAGCGGATTTTTTTTTTTTAGAGACAGAGTCTCAAGCTATCGCCCTGGGTAGAGTGCCGTGGCATCACAGCTCACAGCAACCTCAAACTCTTGGGCTTAAACAATTCTCTTGCCTCAGCCTCCCAAGTAGCTGGGACTACAGGTGCCTGTCACAATGCCTGGCTGTTTTTTTTGTTGCAGTTGTCATTGTTGTTTAGCTGGCCTGGGCTGGGTTCGAACCCATCAGCCTCGGTGCCTGTGGCCGGCACTATAACCATTGTGGTACGGGCACCAAGAGTGGTGTGCAGCTTAGAATCAGAGGGAGTTCACTCTGGATGTGGCTGCAGGGGAAGAGGGACAAAAGGGCAGTACCCAGAGGTTAACAAACCAGTGAAGCAGTAGCTGCAGTAGCCCAGGCAGGCATGGGGTTGGGGTGGCTCTTGAGCTAAAGTAGGGCCAGAAGCAGGCCCTACTTAAAACATTCTGATGAGTTGTTAAAGCAAAGATTTAAAAATGAGGGCTCAGAATTGTTTAAGGAAAAGGCAGGCAAGACTACCAGGACCCTGGACTGAGTTCTTCCTTGTTGCTAAGTTCTTTCAGCTCTGAGCTTCCTGGTAATCAAGGACTAAAGGGAAACAGGGTGGATTCTGTAGCTCTTTGTTCCTCATAAGAGGAGGCACAGACACGGACACATTCCTCCCAGAGAAATGTTTTCTTGGTATTGCATTCTTGGAGAGGCTTGTGGATCCGGAGATGGGAATTATTGAGTAACAAAACTGGCTGTGTTTTGCCAGGGATGCAGTCATGTTCTCACAGCTGCTTCTCATATCGGCTGGGATCAAAGCTGAGGGTGTTACCTCAGATCATAGCTAGAAGCATTTCTGGGAAGGGTGGGCAGATTCAGAGCTGAGAGTCTGGGTGAGCTGAAGCTGAGCCTCAGCCCCAGCCCCCAGCCCCCTCCTCTTCCTGCTCCCCAGCATGATGGCCTGGTGTGGCCCTCTGAGCCCTCACGTGTGTCCCGGGCAGTGCCTGAGGTCCGGCTGGGCAGTGTGTCACTGATCCCCCTGCGTGGTAGTGAAAATGAAATGCGCCGGAGTGTGGCTGCCTTCACTGCGGACCCCCTTTCTGTGAGTGGCTCTCCTTCCCTACAGGCAGGGGGGGCTAGGGACCTGGCTGGGTGGCTGCCTTCTATTCCACAACTTACCTCAGTGAGCCTTCTGGACCCCACTCCCCCTGGCAGGGCCCTTTGGTTCTAGTGGTTCACAGGAACCCCCATACTGGCCCAGGGACCCCAACTGACTCATGCTTTCAGGTCAGCAGTGGAGAATGGCTATAGAAGCTTCAGTAGGTGTCCTGGCCCCTTTGAACATCCACAGAGTACTTAACGGAATCTGGGCTTCTTGTCTTCCTACAGCTCCTCCGCAACGTCTGAGCACAGGAGCCCACCCTGGCTCTGGAACTCTGCCACTGGAAGCCTTCCTGCTCTGACACCACTCACGTTTCAAGGGCCTGGTGTGAGCCAGCAGGGGCTGCACAAGGAAGCTGCATGGGCTGCATCCTCCATCCTGACTGCAACATGGGGTTCCCTGGCTGGGGATGGGGCAGCAGGGTCTGCCTGGGCTCAGGAACCCATCCTGGCTATGTCAGCATTGCTGACCCTGAGTTTGTGAGGCTGGAGAAATGGGCATCTGTGAGCTCTGAGGACCACCATCCTTTCAGAGGTTGAGGTTCTGGGGCCCCCGCTGGAAGGGAGCCCCCACAATGAACTCTAGGATAGAAAAAAGTGGGTGCTCTATAAGAACACTCATCTGGGGCAGGGAGGGAGCTCTGGGTAAGTTTCCACAGAGCTGAGAACTGGACTTTGGGGACTTCAGCTACCCTTCCAATCTGGGCTGGCTGGGAGGGTCCAGGCTGCCAGATGCCCCTTCCCCACTTAGGGGCTTTTTGATAATATAAATATATCTGTATATTTTACCCTGTGGTGCTGAGGCCTGTGATTGGCTGAGGGCATCATGTGTCCTGGGGTGGGAGGAGACAGGAAGTTGAGAAGCCCAGAGGTGAGCCTGCCCCTGAAGCTGAGACCTGGATGCTGCTCTCTCCAGGCACTGAGCTGGCTCCCTGTCATCCCCTTTGATGCCAGTCCTGATCCAGGCCTGGACTGACCCCAGCTGGCTCTGAGCCCCTGCCATTGCTGCCATCAGAGTCTGAGCTGGGGTCTGGATGTGACATGTCAGTAACCCAGGGCATCCCTATAACATCCCCTGCTGGAGACACAAGGACACAGTGTCACAGGAGCTTTAGTAAATTAAATTAGGAAGAAGGACCTTCTGGTTGCCCTTGGCCTCTGTGCATACCCCTCCAGAGGTAGGGCCTGCCTTGTACCAGGCAGCTGTCCACACTGGGCACTGACTGGCCATCTCCTGCAAGGAGATCAGGCCCTGGCCAGCAGGGGAGATAATGAGCTGTTCGGAGACAGATTTGGGACTCCCTGGGAAGGTGCCAGACACACCACATTCCTGCCTCTGCCTAGAGCCTCATTACTGCTCCTAGCTCCCAAGCTGATCTCCCATCCTCATCCTCAGCCTATGGGCCAGGCAAAGTGGGTGGAGGATGGGCCACATGAGCTCTGACTCATATGATCTTGCTCAGTGGGAGGCCTGGGGTCCAGTGGAGGAATTGAGGACATGGACTCCTTCTCTCTGTCTGTTAAGAAGGGAAGATATATGCCAGGAGACTGGAAACGGTTCTCTGAGTCTTACTGATCTATTTCACAGGCTGTGGCTAAGTTGTCCCTTGCACTTCCCACCTCCTGTCCTGCCCTCAGTGAACTGCACCAGGCCAGACTGATGAATTAAATGTCTGACCATTCCTCCTACAGTCAGGACAAGGCTGATGTATCCCCTCATCCAAGTCCTCAGAGATTGGAATTCTTTCCTGGCTCTGACCAGCTAGTCTTGGAGGCCCAGAGACTGGGTGAGACTGGGGTCAACCCCTGCTAGGTGGCTCAAGGAGCTGGCTGCAGTACTGCTTTGGGCCACAAGAGGGAAGCCATGGATTGCTGATGGTTGTTAGACTCAGGACCAGGTCTGGAGGCCCTAAGTGTGGTGGTCCTGGCCCATATCTCACTCTGCTGGGGTATAGAGTGGGACTCAGCCCTGATTTTGGTTCCATGATGGTGATATTCTGCAAGGCAACGCAGTACAGGAAGGTGCTTTTGACTCCTGGGCTCTAGGAACCAGGAGGAAGAGGCAGCAGAGGAGGAAACAGCCTTGTACCAAGCACCTACTGTGAATCAGTGCCTGTGCTTTGTGCACTGTCTACCCTGGGGGGAGGGGGGTAAGGTCCAGAGAAGGGAGATGACTTTCCCAGCATCACATAGTTCTTCCAAACTTGGCGGGGAATGGTTCCTCCTTGATTCCTCTTCTGATTACAGTCGTTTTTCTCTTCTTGTAAGTGGCCCTGTGTATTCCCTGAGGAAGGGGTTCTGAAGTGTCCGGAGTTACTGATAGCTTAAAGTGCTTTCCCTGGGGTAGGGAATGACAGACAGGAGCCTATTAGCGTTGGCTAGGTTGGGGGCAGAAGCCTTTGCTAGTTCTTATCACAGGGATTCCTAAATACGGGGCCTCTTGGGACCCTGGCTAGTTTGTTCACATATTATTTGAGGTCGGGTTGGGGGGATGCATTGAAGAGCCCAGAGCTAGGTCTACTGAGGGACCATCACGATGGCACAGGGGATGGAGGGGCCTCCCTGGTGGAGAAGGTGCTCTTGAGTTGATCTTGAAGACTGGAAAACCTTGCCAGGTGTGCATGGTGGGAAGGGGTGCATTTTGGGGTGGTGGTTGGAGTGTTGGGGGGACAGGGCTCTGAGGGCCAACCCAAGTTCAGGCCTAGCCCCAGGGGAGCCCAGGGAGCCCTGAAAGAAAAGGCTGTGGCAAGTCAGAACCAAGGTAGTGAGGGCGAGGGCATTGTGGGTAGAGAGGAGGCAAGAAGGAGTGTGGGGGATGGGCCAGGAGGTGGAGGGACCTGCCTTTCTACTTGCCTCCTTCCAGCTCAACCTTCTACTTCGCAGAGAGACCTGAGGAACCCTGGGGGCAGAATGGGTAAGAGCTGTACCCTGCCTCATCTCCTTTCCCTAAGCCCAGGGACAAGAGGGGGTACCTGGAGCTGAGGCCTTTTTTCCTGGCCCCATGCTTTGCTGACTTACTAAGCTGCCTGCAGCTCCCTGTCTTGGGAAGCATGTGTGTGGGTGCCAACGCCTCCATTTACAAGCTGTGTGGCTTTAGCTGAGTTACTTAGGTCTCTGATCTGCAGGGTTCTCATCTGTACTCTAGGGGTATTAATAGTAGCTACCTCCTAGCGGGTTGGGAGATTAAATAAGCTAATAAGTACTGTCCTTCGCTAATCCTCTTCCTAAAGTCTAAGCACTCATCGAACAATTACTGTATACAGAGCTTAACTGAATCCTGAGGAGGTGCAGATGAGCAGGTGATGTGGGGGAAGGAGGGAGCCCTTCTGATGGGGGACATTTGGAAAGACTCCACAGAGGAGGTGGACTTGGAAGGTCTCAGTGGAACTGAGAGAGGAAGACATCTCCAAGAGTGGGGAATAGCATGAGTACAGGCCAGGGGATGTGACTCTGCAGGGAGTGGTCTATTGTGGCTGGACCTCAGTGCCCCAGGGCACCCTGGGGCCTGCCTGATGCCTCCAATGTTGGGTCTTTGCCTTTATCTCCTACCTCTGAGATATGACTATATCCCAGACAAATAGGCTCCTTGAGATCTTCCCCCACCACAAAAAGGAACAGTTTCTATTTTCTTAGCTCTGTGACCTAAGTGACCCTGACCCTGTTCTGGGGGACTGTCTTGCTCATATATACATAAATACAGCTGGCCTGAACCTCCCAACCTTTCCTCCTTCAGGAGGCTCTTCTCGGTTGCTCTCATCCCACTGTACTGAGTATACTTGGGGTATGTGTATGTGCCCAGATCACTTGCACCCAGCTAGTGAGTAGCCTAGGGAAGAGCTATCAGGGACAGGGTCTCTGGTCAGCTAGCCCAGCCCTAGCATGTCCCCTCTCCCATGCCACTTTCAGCGTGTGGAAATTTCCGTACTTTCTCTGCCCTGGTTACAGCTCCTACTGCTGTATTTATCACCCTGGAGACACAGTGGCACAGGCGCACACATACCACACACCCAGGCCCAGCGCACACGTGCCTGTATACCTCAGCCTGCACGTCCAGATCTGCAAGTGCATGCTGCACACATACACACAGCACGTGGATGAACACCCCCACACACACAGCTCTCTAGGAAAATTGTTCCCCTTCTCTCCTGCTCCTCTTCCTCCCCCCTGTTTTCCCACCACCTCCCACCTCCAAACACTGAGACTAAAGAGATGGGCTGGACGGTGCCTCCCACCACTTGTCAGCCTAGGAAGCCCTTCTGAGACTATAGCGTGCCCCCCTCTCCTGTCCTGTCAGCTTCCAGCTCTCCCTACCTTCCCCCTTCCCTGCCACTCACCTGCACTCTTGTGTTTCTTCCCTCCATAAGTCACTCTCTTTGTGACTCTTGACTCCCCAAAGTGGGAGCTGTCCTTCCCCGTGTTCTCCCTTGAGGAGCTCAGGGTGCGGGCATAATGGAGCAGAGGGACAAGCTGAAGGGACCCCAGGCCCCAAATCTCCTCATCTCTTGTTATGTTTAGGCCCTCCTCTTGGCTGAGGGGAGGGCTGTATACCTGGCACCATGGAGATCAGCATTATGGTAACACCATCCAGGTGGGCTCAACCTTCTTCCTCCTTGGGGTGTGGGGAACAGGAGTTGCCAAGAGGCCCTGAGGAGGTGGGGCCTTGTGCTGGTGCCCACCACTGGCTGCCATGTCTGCTTCTGGCTCATACCACCCCCAGGACACCCTACTATGGTCAACTTTGTTTACAGCTTCCAATGCCACAAGTCACTAATTCAGTCTGGGTGGGGGGGATCCTCTTGCAAACACAAACTCCAGAGCTGGGGACCAGAGAAGGCAGGGGTTTACCTAGGGTCACATAGCAAGTCTGGACAAGCTTCTGACTTTCAGACCTCAATTCTGTCTTTTAGTCTCCTGCTATCCAGGTCAGAGGCCACTAGGGGTAAAGGGGTCAGTCCAACTTCAGTTCTGGCCACTTGGGAAGTCTGCAGCTAGTCCTTGGCTTTGGCAGTAATGGTACAAACAGTAATGCTAATGAACCAACAGACCATCATGAAACACCCATCTCTTGCTATGCTGAGGCTTTGCATGTGTCATCATATTTAATTCTTATAACAACCCATGAGGAAGATGACAAATAAGTGGTGTGGCCAGGACAGGAACACAGGTCTTTCCCGGGTGGTGCAGGCGAGCTGAGGCTTCACGCACGGTGCATCCCCAGTGGGTGCTCTTTTCTAAAGCAATGACCAACTGTTTCCAATTCCATCTTTCTTGCAGGGATTGTTTATGGGGAAGATCTGGGGCTTAGTCTGGGCCTGGCCTTAGGGTTTCTAGAAAATAGGCTTATTTTTCTAAGAAGATGGGGAACAGAGCCTTCCTCATGTGGTTAGACATAAGGAAGACTTTTCTTGCAGTCCAGCAATACAGAGACGAGCTTCCAGTCCCCAGGTTCTTCTCGAGTCATGTCTAATGCCCAGGCTGGAGACTGGGGATAGGAGGGGAGGAGACCCCTGCATCCTGAGCCCAGCCTCAACTTGTCTCCTGACCTTGATGGAGTCACATTGCAGCTGCCTCCCTCCTGGCTTATGTAATAATTCAAATATAGCAGCTGCCTTTATCCAACTGAGTCACACCCCCTCCATCTCCCCTCAGGTGTGGGGAGTTAGGGGGGAAGAGGTGGATTGGGGCTGAATGGGAGGCTCAGGGCCTCCTGAAAAGGAGGATCCTGGTGTGTTAGATTGGAGGGTGGTGATGGAGAGGGTGCTGGTGCTGAGGCCCCAAGGAGAGCAGA